CAGAACAAAGAGGCAGCCTTTGTCCAAGAGTTCTGATATTCCTTTTCCACGTGGCTGGCCCCAAGTTCAGATCTGGACCCTGGTCCCTGGCCCCAGCCTTCTCCTGGGCTGCCCCGCTTCCTGACATGAAGAGCATTGTAGCGTCTCTCAGACCCTTAAGCAATACAAAGTGTATCTACACACAAAGCGGTAGCATATCCTACCCCAAACAGTGTCAATTACGAAAAACCAAATAGATTATAATGGGCACTTGACTTTGGGCTTTGAGTCAATAGAATTGCTGGGGAGGACTGACAGACTTGCTGGGCCCCTGGACAAGATGGGGCCTGACTCCCTGCTCTCAGAAGGCATGGGGCCTCAAGCAGAAGGGGCAGAGCTGGTAGCAGCCAGCCTTCGATGCCACTTAGTGCACATTCCTCCCTCCTCTGCGAGCATTTAGTACTGCCCAGAGTGCATAGTGCAGTGCTCCAAAAAGAGCCTGGGGCTCCAGTGGCAATAGTTGTGTCCAGGAACCTGGCTTTTTGAATCATGGGTTATAGGGCAACTGCTTATTTTGACCCATCTTGTTGGCAGGCCTAAGAATTGCTGATGGGTTTAAGCCCTCAACTGTATTGTATTGTTATTTGAGCCCAGACAGTAAAAACATAGGCCTTGATCCTGCACAAGTAGTTACCCTTGTGCCCATATTGATCACATATTGATCACTACTTGAAGCCAGAGACTCCATAGTCCACCCTGAGAATAAAAGCCCTAATGTGTCACTTGGCTACATTTAGACCCAGTGTAAAAAGAGGAACCAATCAGTTGAACTTAATGGATTTGAGCTAATTCACCTGCAGTGGAGTGGATTTGTTGCTTAAGAGCTACAATGGATGTGGGTTTAAATAAACCAAGCAATTCAGACACATTTTAAAAAACTGTCTTGCACAAATAACTTGCCAGTATTCCCTTCTCCCCTCCCCCTTAGTTTCTTGACAAGCTATTCAGCTACCACACTCTTGTTCCTCTGCTGCTTATGAACAAGGTATTCCTTTACAAAACAAATTGTGCTCCATAATTATCCAATAAATATTAACTAAGCCCTAGTACAAGTCTTTCTTCTTGAATCAGGATCCCTGTTTAGTTCTGTCAGTATTCCAGTATGCTCAGGTATAAGACAGTCAAACAGGGAAATTAACCATATACATTATCCTATCCTTTGTCCTATATCACGATACTACATATCCAGAATTCAGTCATATTCTTTTCCTATCACTGCCCCTCAGGACACATACCTTGGGAACAGCAGAGGAATCCATATAGGACTGTTACACAGGAAGTTACACAATAACAATTTAAGAATGTTTGCATAAGGTTACATCTAAATCCTTTACTACAGCATATTACTGTTTAAACCTAGGTGCATTTTAACCTTTGAAACCTCAGAACACAGAATCTGGCTGTGCTTTCGATAACCCCCACAGAATATGCCCTAGCTATGGCACCTCCAAAACTTTAGCATATCTATACAGGTCTCTATGCTGTTTTCTTAGCAGAATTAAATTCTGTCTTGCTTCATTCTAAAATGAGAAATTGTCAAGGAAACCACTATAAACTAGGTCAAACATGAGTTTTGTAAACTTTAACTATATAATGTATTTTAATATAGAGGGCCTGGCTAGTGGTGGTGACTTGAAGAAAGAAAACAGAAGGCCTCCATAAGAATAATACTTACAATAATTGTTCTTACAAATACTTACAAATTATGTATCTGATTTCAAGGTTAGGGCACTGTATAGACAATACCAATACCCCTGCTACAAACCAAACAAAACAACAACAAAACCTAATCCAAGCAGTATTTTTACCCCCAAAATAGAAGTTCCCAAAACGCCATGAAGTCCACTGAGGTTTCACTATTGCTATTAATTTTATATAGAAATCACCCAGGTATTCAGGTAATGGGAAGCTAGATAAAATCCTAACTTAGGGGCTAGCTGCTTCATGCATATTCTTAGAGTCTCCATACAAGCATGCACTGAGGGAACTAGCTGCTCCTGAGGGTCTTGCAGCTGTGGCTATATTCTATTTTTAGTGCACTGTCTTGATGAGACTTAGCTTGAATGTGTGTCCTTCAGCCAATAATCACAACACCATGTGGAAGTGCAGACATACCCATAGAAGAGACAGACGTAAACTCTTCATAAAAGCAGGCCTCCTAAATAGTAGCTGCTTCTCTTCAGTCCCTGATTGTGCCCCTCCTTCCCACTTGCTTCTATATTAGGACTCCAGAGCTGGTTTCATTAAGACTAAACCACAATATAAAAATTAACTTCAAACCAAGATGAGCTTAACTCTTCAGAGTCCTTTATGACAGGTACTTTCTCCATGACAAGACATACAAATGACCCAAGCATTCAAAAAAGGTTCTAAGTCCTAAAATTTGCCATTCAGAGTGTTGCTGTTCTCAGAATATTGAAGCCATACAATCACCCGCTATGAAGTGTTGAGGATTGCAAAGGAAAGCAATATAGTCTCTCCCTTTCCCAAATCCCAGTTGCACAATCAGAGGTTACTAAAACCTAATAGCACTATCATGTCCAAACAATCACTTGTAATGGTTTAACATTTTGTGAATTTATTTGCAAACTATAAATTACAAGTCTAGGGATAAGATAAGCAGAACAGAACACAGAGTGCTGAGCTGGCTTCCAAATTTCATACTTATCCAATGAGATGACCTAGAAACTGGATTAATCACTGATTTACACCCAGTGAACTCAGTAGTTTGCAAAAGGGTAAAAGGAATTCTGTCAAATTTGAGCCTCAAGCTCTTGAATGATTTTAGAAGATAAAAGCGTGTTATGGAGATGGAGTCTTTGTATATTTGATTGTGCATTCTGGTTATTCTCAATTTGCCTGGTTAAGATGCACTCTGCCCCTCCTAAATTCCATGATAAAATTAACACTATTTATAGCAGTGTTTCTTAAACTTTTTAAGACCGAGGAACACCAAACAATATGGTGGGTTTTTGTAGGGAGAACACCAAGAATTTTTGTTGAGCAAAAAAAAAAAAAAAAAGGAAGCTTGCCCCTTTTAAGAACGGCCATTTGAACTCTGTTCTCTCCACATATAGTGACCATGTGAACCAAAGTTAGGGACACATTACCTACACCTTCGACCTCTGGTTACTATATCCCTGACTCTCGGGGTCAAGATGGACACATAACCAGAAGTAAAAGTAACTCTCTCTAAGAACTTTTCCCACCATCCTCCTACCCATAGGGGATGAGTTTGGCCCCCACCGAATCCCCTCTCCTCTTTTGTTGGTCTCTCCCCTGCAGGTGTCTGACGTTCTGCTTCACCCCCAAAATCTCCTGGCACCTGCACCTTCCCTTACCCCTGCACCCTCCTGGTGCTTTCTCCTTCCCTTACTGCCCCTGCTCTCCTTGCCCTCTTTTTCCCTGATGCCCATCCTCTCACCACCCTCTGCCCCAGTTCCTCTCCCCTCTGTGCCCTCACACATGACTTGCTCCATCCCCACCTTCCTCATGCCCACCTAGTTCTCTCTGAGCTCCTCCCCCACCTTTTGCCTTCCAGTTTGCGGAGCTGGAGTTTGTGGTCGGCCCCAGAAGTGACTCAGCCCCAGCCCCAGCCCCAGCCGCTTCCCAGGCAGG